CTATATATATATATATATATATTATATATATATATATATATATATATATATATATATATATTAGTTGTAGTAGTATAGTATATATATATATATATATATATATATATACACATATACGTATATATATATATATAAATATACATATATAGATTAAAAAATTCGAAAGTCATTCTGAAGAATCACATCATGGAAATCATGATACGCAACGCTCTCTGTGATAATTTTGATTGGCCAACGAAAGACGATTCAACATGGAGTACGTAGGTACGTGCTAAATTCTGTTTATTTTTCTTGCTTTCTGTAAAAATTTTTGATAGTTATTTTTTAATTCTTTTATTACTTTTTCTTTTGATGTTGGAAGGAACAAGATTAATACATAGGTCGAGGGATTGTGATGTTCCATTGAAATACGTTATTTCTTATTATGATGTGTATTTGTATGTGTTGAATAATTTTTATGGCATAGATATTCTTCCTTATTGAAAGTTTTTAAATGTATATTTACAAATTATCATCGAATCCGATGTAGCAACGTACGTTTGCGCGAAATACATATTCTAAAATATATTTTTTTGAAACAGATATAGCTCGTGGCTAACCTTTTATGATTTTGCTATGAATGCTGCTGCATTTTTTTTACATGCGATTGTATCATATCACGTAATTTGGGCCTAATCCACGATTAGTTTATCTTTAAAATTAAATACAATTGCGTGAGAAGTGTTTTTTGCGAGAAAAAGTCTGTTTTTTGTCACTTCTTACATTGCAATTTAAATTTTTTTTTTTTATTTATCTAGATACTGCACAAAATGACAATGATAGTCGTTGCAATTCGTCACCTTCTCCGGAACTCGTATCGAATCTGAAATCTATTGAAAATTCAGCAACAAATACAAAGGAATTAACAGAAGAGCACGATGGAAACATTAACAAATTGCAAGATACAGCTGCGACTACCTTGCAAGAACCATCTATGGAAAATATAAATTTTACAGTGATTTACAACAAACAGAAAATTAGTGTGAATTTTGCTTTAGACAGCACAGTAGCTGAGCTAAAGATGTATTTACAAAAAATTATCTCAGTACCACAAGCAATGCAGAAAGTTATGTTTAAAGGATTAGCCAAAGATGATCAGACTCTTAGAAATTTGGGAGTGACAAAAGGTAATAGTTGATTAAAAAGTAATACACACACACAAGTGTGCGTGCGCATACACACATGCACATACACTTGTGTGTGCACGTGGAAAACTTTTATCTTGAAGGTACACGAGGCATTATTCACTTTTTGCCATAAAAAATTATCAATATTATTTTGTAATATACAAGGTGCCAAAGTCATGATAGTTGGATCAAAATTAGATGATGTATTGGCTGTGTCCATTCCAACGAAACAAGATCTCATCGATGAAGCTGTTTCTTCAGTGAGCAAGGAATCTCTTTCACAACAAAAAGTACATAGAAAAGTCTTAGATAAAGGTATTCCAGAGGATGTAATGCCAGGAATACTAGATAGCAAGGTTGTTCAATGTATATAAAAGCTGTTACAATAAGCATTTGTGAGAAAAAATAATTGTCTTGCAACTGATGTCTGTGAATTGTACAGGAACCTTTGCCTGAATTTCCACTTGCTGGAATGTTGAACAAATCTGGAGGAAAGGTCAGATTAACGTTTAAATTGGAACAAGATCAGCTTTGGATTGGTACGAAAGAAAGAACGGATAAAATACCTATGAATTCGATAAAAGGTATTCATAGTGAACCAATTCACGATCATCCCGAGTATCATATTATGGTATGTATAGCTTTTTCATTATACCGAGTATATATTATATTCAACTGTCACAGTGACTATATTTCAATAATAAATTTGTTGTAGGCGATACAATTAGGCACTACAGAAGCATCGAGGTACTGGATATATTGGGTTCCTGCACAGTACATATCTGCTATTAAAGACGCCATTCTTGGCAAGTGGTGTTACTTCTGATTGATAGTCGTTGAAGATTTTGTTTTCTGGATAAGCAAAGCTTAATCAGGTGTAAACATTGACACAAATGCTGCTGTTACATTAATGCGAAAACTGTCAGCTAGTCACACATTTTTAACAGTAAGTAATAATTTATTTTGAGTTGCATTATATATCATCAAGATTACATTATATATCACGATAAATATAGTCTACCCCGCTAAAAAAATATTAGGTGACTAGTCTTGATTTATTGGGATGAAGAATACATTATGCCCATGTTATATATTGTCAAAGTCAAGATTTAAGTATACCCCAAATTTTCTATACAATTAAACGCTCGTAAATTAGACAGTTTTTTTACATGAGAACTGTGATTAATAGAACTTCCAAGATTAATAATGTGTTGTGAGAATATATATGCTTGAGTGCGATTTTTCTTCTTTTTTAACTTGTCACAGTGTCATCATGTGTCTACAAGTTTCTGATAATCTACAAATTTTATTAAAAATTTTTAAAGAAAGTAATAGATCTGATCTGTTTGTAAATTTTTTGTAATAAAAATATTGCTTTTGTGCAAATATAATACAAGATTATTATAATTGAAATAAAATTTATATATATCATAATATAATAATTATTTTCCGTGAGAGATGACAAATCTTATAAACAGTTTGATTGTAGATAAATTAAAGTCATAAAATTGCATTTACAAACAAATTTTGCAAGTGGTCATTCGTGCAATGCATGATTTGTTAAGATTACTCACACAATATTTTTACAAAACTTGCTCAGCTTATTGAATGATTTTAATATGATTATACGGGTACACATTATATACACAATACGAAGACTGTATAAGATCTACTCTTGATACATGTTAAACTTTAACAAAGTTTTATTTTTTGTTGTAACTTGCCACAAAAAGAACACATACATATATTCTTTTCTGCATAATATACAATCCACAGCATGTTGTATCACCATTGAGCAAAGCTACAACTCGATTGACAAACATTTCGATATACCATTATATCTACTTGACAGCGGAACAACAACGAATTTAATATTGAATTAAATTAAAAGATTAATTTAGCTGTTTTGTAATTGGCCTAACGATAAAATAAGATGTAAAAATAGTCACACTGAATTAGCCCTTTGCTACATCATGATCTGTAAAAAGTATGTGCAAAAAATTTATGTATGCTCTTTAGTGTTGTAACTGCTGTAAATTAGGTTTTATACGTCTACATCATATAACCGCGCGAATAAAATAAATCAAAATTTGTAGTGATTTCTAAATGCAGTTGATAACTGTCTATGCGTCTAGAAATGTACTTCTGAAGTCGGTTCGAGTGGAACTTGTACATTATGTTGTGTGATTTGATAAAATAAATACTTGTAAGACTTTTGTTTTATATAACGTTTCTCAATCATTTTAACACAAGTACTGCCCAACTAAATAGAGATGTAAATAATAAATTGTGATTCAAATCGTATGTTGTATGAGAAAAAATTTTAAATTATGTGCGTGTATATGTTTCCCCCTGTCTTTCTATATAGTAAGTACATACGTACAAGTTTGCGCGCTCGCGCGTCGTTTATGTGTGAGTGAGTGACGTTTTTCTAATAGTGGCGGGAACAGACACATCTGTTGAACGTACACAGGAAATGTCTTGTTAAAGTACTTGGCTGCCGCTAAAGCGCAGGCTATAGTTTTTCACTCGGAAGGCAGATGTGAGTGCCATTGGAAGAAAATCCCCACCAACCGAAAAATGAAAGTCTCCACTGTGTAATCGATAGCTCTCGCAGCAGTGCGTATGTAGCTCAAGGTCGAGTAAAATGTTGCGCGTATAAGCATGCAAATGTGAACTGTGTTATTTATCCTTGTATATTAATTGCGTTTCGAGTCAACAGTTCGCTCTGCTTGAAGATCACTGCATCGTGAGAAATGCAGCGAGAATGAACGTTGTTTGAAAGCTTTTAAACTTCAAATTTATGAATACCTTGTACAATCTTTTTTCCTTTCTTGACAATGTAAACAACCGATCGACATCGACATCTGGATGATTCGTATAAGTATACAAATATACATATTTGGTGGAAAAATAACGTAAGATGTGTGACGTTAGTCTTGATCGTCATGCAAACAATGATTGTGACACGGTACAATTGACTGTGATATAAGAAAAATGTAATATTGCTATTAATATCCTTAAATTGAAATTATGAAATTATAAAAATATAATATTGCGCGACACGATTGCAAAAGTAAAACATTGGAAGCTCTACAAATTATTTCAATTGTATCGAGATGAGCAATAAATTCATTTTTTATTTACATTAAGAAACTGGAACGCGAATAACTCTTCGTAAACGAAACGGAAGGTGGAAATACGAATTAGAAGAAAATTAACGATCGTTCGAATGATCAAGGAATTGTGATTCTTCACGATGGAAAACAACATAGTATTCATACAAAAAACGTTTCTTCGATTAACTCGAGATTATATCCAACACGGGGCTACGATAAACGAGTTAAAATCCATTACTATGACCAATATAGACAATAATAAGAATCGTAGCTTTGCAATGTGCTCGAGGAAAATACTGATAATGTTACTCGTGCCATTTCTTTTTGGCATACTTAATAGATATCTCTACACGAATATAATTAAAAGTTTTCAAGGAACTCGATGCTTGTTGCCAAATAATTATCTCATATGGGAATTTACAAGGCCGATATCGAATTGCGATTACTGTCGCGATATCGAAGCGCCGTTAATTCTGCCAAATCTAACTAAAGAAGAATTTCGTTTCTACTGTTATTCGTCTCGACCTATGATAGTGAAAAACGCGGCTTACGATTGGCCTGCGCGCAAAGAATTCACTTTGGGATTTTTTCGAAATCTGTACGAGCGTATCGAGGGTGCCTACAATTCCGTAGAAGAGGAATGCCAATTCTTGCATTTTAAGAGTAACTTGGCCAACTTGCGCCAAGTGTTCGCGATGAGTGAAGGTCGAGCGTTGCATCGAGATGGTGAGGATCCTTGGTATGTAGGCTGGAAAAATTGTCACTTACAGATTCTAGATGCCATGAGACAGTTTTACAGTGTACCTCACTTTTTGCCGGAAGACGCGGAAATTCCGTACAGTAATTATATTTTTTTGGGTTACGAGGAAGGTGCCGTTATGCATGTAAGTCTTATAATCATGAATGAAATGAGACGTATCGTCAGGTATATTCTCAATTTTTTTTTAGCTGGATTACATATCGAGACTCATGTGGCAAGCTCAAGTAATAGGTAGTAAAACATGGACTGTGGCTCCGACGCCGGAGTGTGATAGCGAATGTAAATCTTTTAAATTCTTTGTCAATGCGGCGGACATCGTACTGCTGGATACGCGGATTTGGTACCACGGTACTAGCATCAATAATGGAAATTTCAGTTTGACAATCACCTCTGAGTACGGCTAGACTTTTTCTTTTTACGCATATTTTAGAATGTACATCTATGATTTATCACAGACTGCTTTGATAAGATTCTAAGTAGTTATCTCTGCGGATATTCGAGAGATTTACTAAATGGACGGTGTATTAATGTCACTTTTTCGTATCTAACATTGTCATACATTGTTATCATGATCGATAAAATGTACTATAAAACAGGAGATGAGATTAAACACAATGGATAATAATCGAGGAAAATTATCTATATGATAATATATACATTGTATGAATGTAGTAGAATGTGTCTTTTTGTAAATTGCGAATAGATTATTTCTTGTTTTATTTAATTTATTTTTTCCCCCTAATGCTACTGTGTGTGGAGAAATAATTTCAAAACAAATTCAAAAATTTATATTACTCTTTGCTTTTATACTCGACTACATTGTTTGTGTAGCGTCGTAATGTACATATATTCTATATTTTTGTAATTTTTAATAAAAGCTTGAAAAAACACTATGCATTTATAGTAAATCCATGGTCGTATAAATCGTTTTCAATATTTTATATGTGTGTAAACATTTATTTTGTAGTTGTATAGACTCGTGTGAAACACAACGATACAGTCGCTTTTAAGAAATAACGTGTACATAAGAAACTATTGTAAATATTTAGTACATAGCGATATTGTCGCAAATACTTGCAGTGATACTCATGCTCTAACATTGCATAACGCTGTAAGGAGAAAAACAGTAGTGTATTTTTATCCTTCACCTTGAATTTGCATATTTAAGATTTGCTATGTAACAAATGTAGACGCAGTTTGTTATATTAAATGCGTGACAGCGTACAATTTTGTAGTATTCGCCTAAGATGGAATGCATATCGATTGCACTATATAATTCACTTGCGCACCATGTTCACTGATATTTCTTCGTATAAGCTGGTGGACTTTCCTGGAACATCGACAAAGTTTATTACATTTACGCAATGTGAAACTTATCGAATGTAGGAAAATAAAGATACTTTTATACTTGATTCTGTAGATAATATAATAAAATAGATAATATATTAATATAATGTTAGGTGCATGTGTGTACGATAGGAGCAAAATTTTCTAATATTTCAGAGTTTCGATAAGATAATCTTTATATCACTCGCGATACAGAGATACGACAAGCGTTACAAAATAAAACAAAATATATACATATAGTTTTTTTGCTTTCTATATCAAAGAAACAAAAGTACAATAATTTAAATGCTTTTAAAGAAATAATTTTCATAAAGTCGAAAGATAATTGAAGGTACCATAAATTTCGGATATTATAAATATAAATTAAACGTGTTTAAAAATATAATACTTACGTAATATTCTGGTGGTGGAACGTAAGCACATTGAGGCCTATTAGGATCGTAATATGCGCTTTGCGCAGCTTCAACAGCCTTCGCATCTGATAAATAAAGAAAAGCAATGTGAAATCATGCCTTTGAACAATGTACAAGATGCCACATTGCTATTGCATCAAATATTAATGACAATTTTTGTGAATCTAGTAAACTGTTCCCTCGATAAGGATATAAGTAGGTAGAAATAGTTATAAAAATTAAATATAACTGTACGTATATAATAATAATAACAAATGTATTTTAACAGTTTTATAATTGAGGTCTAAAGAGATTTAATGTAAAAAAAGAAAAAATTGCGATAAAAAATTCAAATTTTCGTTAAAGAAGAGACAAATTGAAAAGCATTAACGAATATGTCATTAAAATTAGATACGATAGCGATGGCGATAAAATATTCTACACAATCTACATACTTTTAGCGTTAGTATTGGTATCGATATTAATAAAATACACATACAAACATATCTCATATTCGATGCATTAAATTTATTTTGTTTCGGCATGATTTTGAATTTAATAATAAGTGTTGAAAGTTTTAATTATCGTTTTCAAATGTTTGTATAATCAATGCGTAAAAACGTTCAACCGTAGAAACATCACATTATGTGGTTTTTGTAACGCAACTTTTGTAATGCTAATTTCGATGAAAGATCTTTACACTCGTTATATTCACTATTTAGTCTCTTGGTACTTAATGCATTCGTTAAATTAGATGCAGACCTGGTTTAATAACCAATATAACAAACATATTTGTCTATACACTCATTTATATATAAAGTAAAATAAATAATAAAAGTTGTATTATAACATGTGGTGTACTATAACACACGGAGTAGAAATAACTCGAGGCGCAAATCTGTTATATCTATCTATCGAAGCCGTTTCGCACTACCTGCTGACAACTATGAGATAATAACTGAGCAAAGTGAAAGTCGATCCTATTTCAAATTGAGGAAGGACGCGTTATGTAATCGTATTCCTTAATATTCCAAACTTCCAAGTTTAACAGGCAAATGCATTAATTTTTTTAGTCCGATAGATTTGTCTCTTTTTTTTCTTCTTTAATTTCAAAATGCTAAGCCTCAGATTGATAGGTTCAAATAAAAACAGCAAATAATCTTTAAGCAACATTTAATATTATGTTATATTATATCATATTATATTGTACGTATTGTATTGTATTGTATTATATTGTATTGTATTATGCGCGTGCGTGTGTTTGTTGTGTGTGTGTTAAAATAGAGTATATCTATATAACGTTTAGTATATAATCTCTCATAGAATTAACACGCATAATTATAATTCTTTGTTGCATTCAATATGCAATTATAAAAAAATATGTATTATGCAGGCTATTTGGGAAAAAAAGAAAGAAAAATGCCTCTCTCAAAAATATATATACTGTTTCCGAAGAATATCTACGCGTTCTTTCATAAATATCTCGAATACAGTATGCACTCGTACACGAAATATATATTGGAATAATATATTGGAAAATATATCGTTCATTGTCGATAGATTTTCGACATTACTTCTTTAGAATCTCTGAAGCGTTTATAATATTATATCTTTCATAACTTATAAGTTGATAAAATATATAGGCACATAATTTACAGATACACATATATATATTACAATATTTATTAGTATTGAGGTGGGTATGGATTGTAAGACTGCTGATAAGGTCCTGGCTGTGTATACCCAGTTTGCGGATACGCCGAGTACGGTGGTGGATTAGACGAATAACCGCTATAAGGCGGTTGTCCGTAACCGCCAGGATACGCACCTGCTTGAGACATCGGCTGGCCATTGTAATTTGGATTAGCCCATCCAGGAGTCCCTGGTTGTCCCGCTGCACTTCCGGCTCCTGCTTGATGTGGTGGTCCACTCGCGTATCCGTATCCTGACTGTATGCCGGGATATGGCGGTGGACTATCCGTCATGAAAACTGTATTCCCTATAGAAAAAAGAACAATTTAACACAAGTATACACTGTGAATCAGATGCGTTCAACACAAATGCTATTTCGAAATAATGGCGAGATTGTATCTAGCTTGTTGGTAGCTAATGTACGAGAATGCAAGCGACGATACAAGATTAATCACTGATATAAATTTTTAAGATTTTAATTATCTACACTGTAATATGTTACTGCAAGCATACTCGAATATTATTTCGACTATTAAATGTCGAGCAAAATTTTGTAAGTAAAGTTACTAATACAGGTATACTTAGTATGAGTGCGTTTAAAACGTTTAAAGGACAGTAGAGAAGCAATATTAAACCTGGTGGAACATCTGGAAATATATTGGTAGGAGGCATCCATCCGTAATATCCAGTTGGTGGAGGTTGATAAGCTGATGGTTGCGCTGGGTACCAATCAGACATTGGAGGTGTATATGGTGGTGGTGCATCATTTCGTGGACCATTGCGCTGAGCTAAAAGTCACATGGAATACACTTGATACAAGAGATAGATAAGTTCTTATTGATATATCTGATAACAACATTAATCTTATTTTCAAAGTTATTTAATATATGGAAAATATGTACAAGTATTCAACATGTGCAAAATCACAAATACAAATTATTTGTATTATGCATTTCTACAGCAAATACACATTACATACATATATACATACACATGCACACGCGCACGCACACATACACACACACACACACACACACGCACACACACACACACATCTTACCCATGGCTGCAGCTCTCAGCAAAGCTTGCGCAAATTCCACTGCTCCGCCGCTTTTGAATCTTAATTTAAATTTGCATTCTCCAATCCAGTTGCCATTCGGCTGGGCGCGGCACTTGCCCCCTATATAATTAGCGCCAAACACTGGCTGTTCCAATCCAACTTCACTCAATGTGACAAATGGAAAGCTAAACGACTGCATTTTCTCCTTTTGATCTTTAGCGTTGAAAATCATTCTGTGCGTTGTTAAATACAATCTACCATGTTTCTTCCCAATAAATTCCACCTGCTCTTGTCCATGAAATTCCATATTGACATTGTCGCAGAAGAGTATGATGCTAAAGGTAATTATATGTTAAAATTCTGTTTGCATTGTCACATGTATGCATATGATAACTTTATACTACGTCAATGGGTATAACCATAATGCACCAAGTATAGAATGCAGAATATTTTGCTCAAATAATCTAAATTGTATGATTGTGTAATTGTAAGTTTGACTCTGACCAGGCAACAGCGAACGTCAGCTGTAATAATCTAATATCGCGTGGATGGGAAGATTATGACGGAATTGCGCTTTAGAAACGTCATCGAGAATATTCGAGATAAATAACTTTGTACAATTAAAGTACATAAATAATTTATAAAACTTTTTACAGCTTACCATTCGCCAGAATGGAGAAGAACTCCACCGTTGGTGTGTGCTGTGTTCAATGACATGTCGTCTCCTTATACGATACGCATTCGATGGATAACAATTCTCTTAATGAACGTCGTCGAACCTTAAAGAAACAGAGAAAATTCAGACTGATTCAGACTATTGACGTTGACGTATCCTTTCAGACGTCAATGTTGATTTTACCGAAAAGAAAAGGTAGGTGTCGCACCAGTATTTTCATTTTTCAATGCATGTCACATGCCATCTACATTCAATTTTAAGTTTGTAGCTTCCATATTACTGAATTATCAAGGCTATAGGCCCGAGCACAGACTTTTACATAACGCATAAGGCATAATGCATAGAGCATAACGTAACGTTCTTCAACGCACAAGCTTGTGTGCATAAGGCTTTACATTCTAACCTTAAAATTATTTGAACACCGAAATCACATGGTGAGTAAGACGATACATAGAGAGCATAGAAATTTTAAATATCTTTTATTCAGTTTTTATTTTGAGATAGGATTTTGAGTTTTGATATTGAAAATAATGTTACAGAGGAAATAAATAGGAACACACAATATTGAAAAGAAAATCAAGAGAACTTTTTTTGTGATTATAAAAGTGAGAATGTAAGTATTTGCAAAGATATATTTTATATAATTTATTATATATGTAATTATTATATTATTATTATGATTATTTATATATACTTGAATATAGTTTTAATTTTCATCATTTTTATTAGAAATGGTCTGATCTATCAAAAAAAGAAGGGACAATAAAAATAAGAAGAGAAATTGAAGAGTATTTATTCTCTAGTAAAGATGTAACTTTAGAAATTGCATTTACGACATCTGGCTGCAATTTTCCTTTTGATTTTATTTGCCTACTTAAACCTTTCTTTCGCGCATAATCAGAGGCACTTAATAACTGATATTGAAGAAGCATCAGACTGGCATGATGTACCGCGTCGCTTGATTTGTGTGAAAGTGAAGTTGAGTACTCTAAACACAAATATAAATTTTTTAAATGAAACAAATAAAAAATTTATTAAAAAAATAGCCATAATAAAAATGCTTGTAAAAATATTTATCTTTGATTTATTTTTGCTTGATTTATTTCTGTAAAAGACTGTTGTTGTTCAAGTAAAGTAGTTGTATTTGTAGGAGATACATTAACGTTTCTGCCACTTAAGCTTGTAAATCGATTTTGTTCCAATGATTCTGCATTGTTAACTTTTGAAAAATTCTGTTGTAAGGTAGCCACATTCGCCAAAGAGAGATTTTCTTTTTCGTTACTAAAGTTAAAGTTTCTAAAATTAGAAAATAAAAATTTTATTACAGATTTGCAAATAAAAGCGCTTTTAATTTTATATGAATTATGTATATATCTTACTTTTGAAGAGAAATACATCGTTTTGTCAATGGAGAGCTTTTGGCATGTTGCACATTAGTCATTGTTCTGAAAAAAGAAAAAAATAATGTCAAGAAATTGCCGTAACATGCAAAGAGTTCTAAGACTAATATACAAAAAAGAAATCTTGATTATTCTAATTTTTCAACATCCTAATTTTTACTATACCTTCTTTTCTTAACGAATGGATCCAAAAATTGCATGTTGTTAAAAAACTCAAAAGTTTTCCTTTTTGATGCTTCACTTCCAGTAGTTGTTTCTTCCTGTCTTTGTTTTTTTTCTCTTGTGTATCGCTCTCTTAATCGCGTCCATCGTGATTGACACTCGTCCACTAGCAACAAAAATAATATTAAATATATTAATTTTTCATGCTAGATCGCATGCAATCTAGTCTTGCTAAAAATGCTGCAGGCTGTATTTTCAGCAAGTAGTTTACTAGTTTACAATCTAACATGAAAAATTACACTGTGTCACTGGTTTAACATATGCAATTTAAAATCTGTTAAAATAAATTGCAATGTATAAAAATATATTATATACCTGTCATATTCAAAATGCTTGCTATTTCTGTTCAGGCATTCTGTTTTTTAAAAGTATCTTTGAAATCAGTCAGTTCCTTGTTATATATGTAAGGATAATCACGCACCAAAGAAATGAGCAAAGCATCTCCATCGATTTCATTTTGATTCTCTATTTCACAAACATTTTCATTTTCAGAATATTGAGAATATTGATTCTCTCCACAGAAATTTTCATCTTGATATTGAGAATCAAAAAAATATGAATCATGATCCATTTTCCTATCGAAATAAAATATATTAATGTGATTGTTATATATATTATTAATTTAGTAATTATATAATATAATATATATATATATATATATATATAATTATATTATTATATTAAGAATATATAGTAGAATCGATAAGTGTACTTACCACGTATTGTCAACAAGAGAAGAGGTTAGAAACTGGTTGAAATTAGCGAACACAATTAATGGTGGACAAATCTAGACGCGTATCCGTTTGCATAACGCATAAAATTCATCCTTACGGATTTTTCGACTCCTTATGCATCATGCTTTATGCATTATGCAAGATCTGCAGAACGAGGAGTGGGGATAGAAATATGGCCGGAGCACAGACTTTTGCATAAAGCATAACGCATAAGCATAAGGAAATTGATTGGTCCATTTCCTTATGCATTTGCTTATGCTTATATATAGACCAATCAATTTCCTTAT